GTCCGTGGTGCATATAGAAATGCGTTAAGAAGACTTCCGCCACCCGTCCTGCCGTGATTTCTGTCATACCAATTAAGATGACCCCTTTTGTCAACCTATCCGTTATAACCAATAGATTCGTGGCTCCGTTTTCCTTCGACGGGGGTAGGTCTGTGATGAAATCCATTGCTATTTCGGCCCAGATTCGTTGGGGAATCGGTAACGGTTTTAACAACCCGTGTTTCGTATCGCGCCAGACTGTGCTCCTTCCACATACCGTACAGTTTCGTAGGAATCGTCGTACATCTTTGGCTGCGCCGGGCCAGAAGAACCGTCGAGATAGTATCGAGTATGTGGCATCTCGTCCTGGGTGCCCGGTGATATGAGAATCGTGAATCTTCTGGATGATCCCTGTGCGTAATGGCTCGCTGTCTGGGATCCATAATCGCTGGCGGAAACATAGTAGCCCTCGTTCATCGAGGTGACATTCCGATAGGCTAGTCTTCACGCCCGTTTCGGCGGCGATTCGGCGGTCTCCCTGCTGTAGAGCTTGGGAGTATAGCTGATATGTGCCATCTGTCGCCCTGCCCTTCTTCCATTCCTCCTGTAACTCGGGTTCTTCAAAGAGGGAAACTGGGGTATTGAAGTCTAATCGCGCTTCTTCCTCTGAGGCATCGGTGACTGCTTGTCTTGGTCTGCTCAGTCGAACCGAGACCTTTTCGAAGAGGGTTCGGAACCGATTCGATAGTCGTTCGTCAGTAGCGTCCTGTGGCATATCTTGGCCCCGTCGTGAGAGTGCATCGGGAAGCACTGCGAGCTTCCCAGGCCGATAGTGTAACGTGAAGTCGAATTCTGCCATTAAGCCTGCCCATCTCATCTGCCGTTCACTAAGGTGCTGCGCTTTGTTGAAGTATCGTAGGTTTTTATGGTCTGTTACGATAGTGAATCGTGGGACCATCTTCAACTCAGGCCTCCATTCCCGTAGTGCGCGTATGATCGCTAGCAACTCCTTGTCGTGGATCTCGTAGTTCGACTCTGCTGGGGTCAATTTCTGCGAGATATAGGCACAGGGGGCCAACTGGCCGTCGTCTTGTCGTTGAGATAGTACAGCTCCCGTAGCCCATCCGGATGCATCGGTTTCTACTACCGTCTCTCTTTCTTCTTCGAAGTGTGCTAGGATTGGGGCGTTAATAAAGAGGTCCTTAAGTTCTGTGAAGGACTGCTGGCAAGCTTCATCCCATTGGAACACCACGTCCTTCTTCGTGAGCCGGGTCAACGGTGCCGATAAGGCAGCGAATCGGGGTATAAACGATCTATAGAAGTTGGCGAATCCGAGGAATCCGCGCACATCGCGTACTGATTTCGGGGCTTCCCACGCACGTATTGCTTCCACTTTCTTCGGGTCCACGTGAATTCCCTCGCCTGCACGGATAATGAATCCAAGGTATTTAACAGAGCTCTGTTCGAACTCCGACTTTCCAATGTCGCATTGCAACCCCGCGTCCTTAAGCTTCCGTAGCACTTCGTGTACTTTTCGGCGGTGATCCTCTATCGAACCGCTAGAGTAAATGATGATGTCGTCGACATACGCTGATACAAAGTCGTCGAGGTACTCTTGTAGGGTTTGGTTGATGAACCGTTGGAATGTCGCTGGCGCTCCGGTGAGGCCAAAAGGCGTAACATTCCACTCAAAGAGGCCGTATCGGGTACGAAACGCTGTCTTCCATTCCTCTCCTGGTGCTACCCGTACTTTGTGAAACGCTGCGATGATATCCAGTTTCGTAAACCACTTCGCTTTCGCCATATTCCGTAGGGTTTCTCGGATAAGGGGTAGTGGATAGCGATCTTTTACGCTTAGGTCGTTTAACCCCCTATAATCGACACAGAATCGAACTCCCCCGCCCGGTTTCCTCACTAGGAGTACTGGGGCGGCTGCGGGTGACTTGCTAACACGGATGAAGTTCTTATCCAGTAGATCTGTCAACGTTTTTCGTAGGTATAAAAGCTCCTCTTTATTCATTCCGTATAGTGGACCGTAAGGCGGGTGTTCTTCGTTACCATTTCGGTCGCGATTCAGTGGTATCTTATGGTCGATTCCAGGTCGATGTGGTGGTAGCTTATCAGCTAACTGTTGGCTAAAGACATCCAGCCATTGCCAGTACCGTTTCGGTAGCTTTTCCTTCAAATCGACATGCTTCTTAGGTCGTAGTGCTTTGTCGATATCGTCTAGCGTGACTTTCCCAATCTGTAGGCGATCCGGTCGAGGGGTGCTATCGAATAGCTGCCGAATCGACTTGGCTGAAGCGCGGTTAACACGTAGTGCTTTTGTACCGACCGGTCCGATGGTCCTATTCTTTCGATTCCAGCATCTGGTTTTCTCTCTGGTTTTAGAGAAAATGTCCATATATCCTTTGTTCGGCGAGTATATTCCATCGACGTCCTTGATCCACGGGAGGCCAAGAATGATTTCGTCTATCTGGTCCTCAATGATATACGCAAAGATCGTACCGTTCTGGTGGCCGTGGATATCCGCATTGAAATACGTGACGTGGGTGATTCGGCCCTGATTCGCTACCACTCCGTCTAGCTGTCGGGGACGAATCTGTATGCGCGGAAGGTCGAGAGATTTAGCGAGTGCTCCATTTACTGTTGCGTAGCTTAGACAGCCATGATCGACTAGTGCTTCTGCAAACTGGATTCCATTCACTCTAACGTCAACTAGGAACGGTGGTTCCTCGCTTCTGTCTAGTTTCTCGACCCCCTTTCGCTCCTGCTCGCGGCTAAGAACAGGAGCTACTCGTTTTCCGACTCACTATTGGTCTGTACGCTCTCTTCTGTCGAACTAGGTTCGGTATCTTCCTCGACTACTGCTCGCGATTTCTTGATACGGGCGGTTCGTTTATGTTTCGGCGGCTTTTCGCTACTGTCGCGATCCTCCTTCCTTTTCGGCTTGCTTGCCGCCACGCGGTTTTTCTGCTCTGGGCGTCTTGCTGGTAAGAGCGGGCACTCCGAAATCCAGCAGCCGGGCTTTCCACAACGTAGGCAGCGGCCTTCTTCCCGGCGGCTGCTTATCTCTTCTTCACTAACCCATTGTGCTCTCTTTGGTCGTTCGTGGCGTTCGCGACTGATTCGTCGGTGATTCGCGTGCGGATCGACGCGGTTTACCGATACCGTCGGGGTCCAATCCATTTCATCTACAGATTTCGTAGAGCGGCGAGTGGGCGGTTTACTTATGTTCAACGCGTCCATATCTGTGCTAATTTCGTGAAGACGGGAGATTAAGCCTTGGAAGGTGGCGGGTATACCACGATTCATCAGCGAATTGCTCATAGTTCGATTTAGGGAACCGAGCAAGATCTGTCGCTTAGCTTCGTCGGGCCATTCTAGTGCTCCAGCGTCGGCGAACTCCTTTTCTAGCCGTGGTAGGAATTTCGAGAAAGCCATACCTTCAGATTGATTGATCTGGTGAAGGCGTCGGGCAGCCCGTGCTTGTGCGTTTGGGTCACCATAGATCTTTTCTAGGTAATCTAGGAGCTCTTCCGGGGTGCCGTCGTTTCGTCGGTGTTTCACATACGTCCCGGTGTTCTTCCAGGCGAGCTTCTCTAGCCGGGAGAATACGTACATAAATTGTTCGTGTGTGGCACCAATAGCTTCGCCATCGACTGCCAGTTTGTTTTCCATCGTGATGCGCCATGTAGGCCAGTCATTTACACTTCCCGCGAATAACACTGGGTCGGGGAGTCTCGCTCTTGGTCGGCGGTAGGGCTCTCCGATACTCGACGGTGTTTCGGTGGCGGTTCGTACTTGTTCCGTGACCGTTTCGCTAGTGATCTCATCGGTTTGATTGCTGATGCCTTGTTGTGCTATCATCTCTTCGAGGCGGCGGATTCGCTCTCCTTGTGCGGCGGAGAGTCGTTCCTGGGTTGCCGCGTGCTGCTCTTGTGCAGTCACCATCCGCTGTTGGGAGGTAGTGAACTGCTCCATTGCTTCGCCATGGGCTTGTTGATTCCTCATCATCTGTTGCATTATAGCTTCCACCCACTGTGGGGGTGTACTCTGCTGAGCCTGAGGTTCCATGGTTACTGGTATTCTGTTGGTGCTTCGTCGCTGAATCGGGGGTGATTCAGGGGTAATTCTTCTGCTATGCCTAGGGATTGTCGCTTCTAGGGCTTTTCCGTTGGGGTCCGATGGTTTAACGATAAGAATCGGAAGATTGATGTATGTGAAGGGCTGAAGCTTTATTGATTCAATTAGGCTAGGCCAACATGCTGTTTACATCAATCTTAGAGAAAAGGTAACTATCTACTGGCGATGGGGGTTTATGTATGTTATGGGCACGTGCCTCACGTGATCCAAGCCGGGCTCTGGCCCGTTACACTAACAAACCGAACTTCAGCACATAGTGGTCATCCAGGGTTTAACAGAAGGGTCCCAAAGGAATCCAGCATTTGTAGAGCAGGTAAGTCGGTTGGTAAAAAATATTTCGTCCTATCAGTATTGTATATACGTATGTATTCGCTCGTCCACTGTATTATTTAATTTTAGTAGAGTAGTCGAGTGAACGTGGTTAGCTAAAGGGGGAGGTGAGAAGTGGTCAGACAACCGACCGAATCTCCTGTCGGCTCTGCTGTTTGGCTTGTTTGCAAGTGAATGGCTCTAGACACGCATACCCCATACAACCATGATACGACAGCTATTTTTATGCCATTATATATTACTGTACTAAGATACTGCCAAAAGTGTGGGTCAGGGGCAATCTAGCTGTATTAGGCATAGCGTCATGCAAAACAAAGTTCAGCAAAGAATTAAGGAGAGTGTAGAGATGAAACTGATTTCGAGCGCGTCTGTATACTACCGCAAGTAAGTGCCTTCCCCCACCCCTTTTTTTCTTCATTCAAGAGGGTCAGTAAAAGTGATGTTGTTGCTTTGAGTGATTCAGTCTCGAACATAAATAATTCTCGGCCCCAGCCAGTCGTCACCATCATCGCACTTGCTTGCCTTGAAGTCGCGCATAGTCCAGGATGCGTTCCTTCAATTACCTTTTCTTTATCGGAAATGTTGTGGCAGGCAGTTACTTGGCTATCATTGAGGGCAATGACGGCGAGAACAACTGTAGAGTGTGGTCTGAGAATACCCACGGCTGTACAGGCTACTCAGCAACCTTTGCTAAACTGAAAGGCAAAGATTGCTCGGGTGAGTATCCAATTTAAATCAAAGGCCCTCACGCTATTGTTAACACTGCTTAGGTTTCATTGGGGCCGGTTCCGACGATAAATCGGTGGAAGTTGATATATGTGGCACTGAAAATGGAGAGCAGGTTGCTTGGGTGACAGTCAACAAAAACGGCACAGTGTCTTTCCTCAACCGACAGGGAAACACGTCTAGTTGTATGCTAGAAAACGGTCTTAAGGCGCCCAGTGGGTGTACTGGTTCCTCTCAGACGACCACGCCGATCTCTGCAGGCAGCCAGCCCTCGTTCTCAACTGCAACCGGCACGTCCACTTCTGAAACAGCCCGTGCTGATCAATCTCCAACTCCGATATTCTCATCGACGCCTACAGACAGTCCATCTTTGGCTTCGATTTCAGCCGGTAAATCGGCTACTGGGACGCCCCGTGCTGATCAATCCCCAACTCCGATATTCTCGTCGACGCCTACAGACAGTCCATCTTTGGCTTCAATTTCAGCCGGTAAATCGGCTACTGGGACACCCCTCGCAGATCACTCTCCAACTCTCACGTCTACCCCAGTATGCAAATGCCCTTGCAAATCTGCAGCCGTCTGATGTAGATAGAACTACACTGCCCAGTGCGAGCCGCAGGCTAGTTAATTAGAGCTCATCAGGTTTAGTATAGGATAGTTCGAAATAGACTGCGACATCGCCCGTCCATGGGCACCTAGGAGGTGCCCAAGGCCCGTCCACGGTGGGCCTTGGGCTATTTGGATTTTCTAGTGCCCGTCCATAACGCCCAAGGCCCACGGGCATGCCCACGGCGGGCATGCCCACGATGCCCACCATTGCATAAAGTCACCCAAAATGGACGTATAACTCGCTGACTTTGCATAATAAATAACTGTTATTTACACCTGTTTTGCCAACTCCATGTAAAATGGCAGTTTTAATCTACAACATCTATAAATTTTACTGAAATATCTATGTATATGAGAAACTAGTATATATATGATACGAATTGGACTAAAATTTTAATCGAAATACATCATGTTGTGTGGTATTTTTATTAACTTATCAAATCATACTGTAACAGCTTGAAGATATATATTCAAGTCAGTGGTACATGCCTGGCATTTTCTATAAGTAAAATACTACTTATGGATTCTACTTTATCTCTCACTCTGGTATATTTCTTATAGGTAGATCGAAAGATAATTAGTATAATTCTTATTTTATAAGCTTATATCACTGAATTCTGTCAATTATATCACTCAAAGACTTATGTTATTATTCTAGGAGTTTTAAATCCTTCGATTGTAACTCAAGATGGGCGTTTAGGTATGTTCCCATGGGCGTGCCCACGGGCGTGCCCACGGGCATGCCCATGGACAAAGACACTTATAGCCAATCAGCTTATAATATATAGTGGGTCTACACTCAATTTACGATCTATCAGATCTATACAAAGCACCCCTTTTACTAGTAATCCTCGTTTCACACGGTCGCAAGTTACCTATTGTAAGTTCAGATCACTCACTCTCCTATAGTCGTTATATTATCCCTTACATCACATTAACCATGTCCCAACCTAGTGCCTATACCGCAGGGCCTTCTTCACTTCCTCCGAGCTCCCAACCAGACCTCTCCTACGTCGCCGATATATTTGATCCTAACCTTGATCCAAATATTGATCCCAGTCTCTTCAACAGCCAACAGACTTCTATCTCACTGATAGAGTCCGAGTTCACTCAACCGGCTATTCTTGATTGCTCTCTCAAACGCGTCGGCCCCGATCGGAGAAAGCAGTTTATCCTCTACGACGCGATGAACAACGCGTCCAAAGTAAAGTTTATCGAGTGGTGGCGTACCACAGTACGCGGCAGCAGTACTGAGACACAACAAAGGCTACGATGGGATGCAAAACACATATCAGATGTCTGGGAGAACTTCGACCAGGTAGCACATCATATTACAGGCGAACCTTTGGTCATGTGTCGGACGTGTGGGGTTACATTGCCTCATCCAAGTACAAAGCAAAGCGGCACCAATACACTCAAGCGGCATCTAGCCTCAGGCAAATGCCAAAAGGGTGGTAAAAGCAAGGCTACACAACAGTCGATTAAGGAGACCATGCAGCATATACCGGTAAGTCTTATATTATTATACCCTTCAAGATAACTAACATATTACATATTAGGCACTGGAGTTATCTTATAACTCAAAATTCTCGAATGATGAATGGGAAAGAGAGCAGATTGAATGTCTTACCAGTCTGAACCTCCCTTTCCGGATACTTGAGAGGAAGCAATTTGCTTCCTTGATTCGAATGGCACAAAAGGCTCCAGCTGAACCCACTTTACTCCATCCTCGCACTGCTCAACGCCGGCTCAAGAAATTGGTCGACGAGGAGCAACATTCAATTCTCGCTACCTTACCACAAGATGCGAAGCTCTCAATTGCCCTCGACTGCTGGACATCGCCTTTTCAGCAGGCATTCATGGCAATCACAGGGTACTTTATCGACCGAGACTGGAATTACCGTGAGCTCCTACTTGGTTTCGAACCACTTGATGGGGCGCATTCTGGTGTGAATCTAAGTGAAGTACTTATGGAGATCTTTAAGAAGCTTGATATTACTGATCGTGTGTTAGCGATTACATCAGATAACGCGTCAAATAACACAACTTTAGTACAGGCAGTTCAAGACTCTATTGACTCCCTTGAACTACCGAATAGCCCGGTGGTTGTTCGAATCCCTTGTCTTGCACATGTTATCCAGCTAAGCCTTCGCGAGCTACTTGGATCGGTGAAGGCCGATCCCCAGAACGATACCACAGATCGGAATGTTTCAGATGTCCAAGCCCAAGCCCAAGCTCGATCGCTCCGTGCTTCACAGAGTGAACAAGTCATTGTACAAACCCTTGTCAAGGTAAGTGTATCACTTTGTTTATCACTTAATATATCTAATAACTATCTAGATTCGAGGGCTTGCTGTGTTCATTAATGCAAGCCCCCAACGTCGCGATGATTTCTTCCGTCTCCAGACCAATGGAGCAAAACTTGCGCCTATCCAAGATGTCCGCACCCGCTGGAATTCTACCTTCTTGATGCTTCGTCGTGCGAAACGCCTCAGCAAGCCCTGCGATGAATACTGTGATAATATTGGGACTCAGAAATACAAACTCAGTAAGGCAGAATGGCGGCAGGTCGACTACCTCCTGTATATCACAGAGCCGTTCTATCGCTTTACCACAGTGCTTTCAAAGACCAAAGAGATAACAGTACATCATGTTTTTGGTATTTATAACGCCCTCTTTGAGCACTTCGAGGAATCGATTGCACGACTCACTCCGAAAACCATACCTTGGAAGAAGGCGATGCTACAAGCCCTCAATGCTGGGATGGCAAAGCTTACCTCTTACTACACAAAGACGAAAGAGATCCATGGTAGTCTCTACGCGATTGGAACAATTCTTGCACCCCAGCATAAGCTTCACTTCTTCTCAAGTAAGGCGTGGGGTACATCGGAGAACGACACAAACTGGAGTGATCAGTATAAGGAAACGCTTCGCCAGTTCATAGCTCCTTACGCCCAAAGACACACTCAGACACGGTCCCTACGAGAAGAGCAACCCCCTAAGCGTCACTCAGCCAGTACAAGTGACCTAGACGCCCTCCTTGACCTTCTGCCTCACATCCACTCTGATCCATCAACGTCGGAGCACGAACTTGCTAGATACCTTGAAAAGCGTACGTTATATTCACTGTTATTACGAGCAGGAATACTAATACCTATGATAGCAAGGAGAAAGGTCGATCCTTTACAATTCTGGAAGGAATATGAGAATGAATTCCCAATTCTTTCCAGTGTTGCTCGCGACATTCTCTCTATTCCTGCAACAGGCGCTGGAGTTGAACGTCTTTTCAATTCAGCACGGGATGTCTGCCACTACCGACGTGGGCGGCTGAGTGCGAAGACAGTCCAGGATATCATGATGTTCCGGTGTAAAACCCAGTTCGACATTGAAATAGAAGAACTACCCGATGAGGATACGTCCTTGGATTCAATGCAAGAAGCAGACGAACAGAGAGAGGCTGAGCTTACCACTGACATGCCTGAACCAATCAGCGATGGTGAGGATTCCGAGGATAATGATCCTGTTGGACTGATCGAGTATGAGTTTATAATGGAGAGTCAGCTTCCTCGTCCTTCTATAGTGCTAAGTACGCGGAAGCGACAGAGAAGTGAGCTAGTCGACAGCGAAGATGAGAGCAGTCCTCATCTCCCTCATTATGGAGATAAGGGTAGCACTCAAAAGCGCCCTGGTTTAAGAGAAGCAAGGAAGCGTGGCAAACCCAATGATGATCAATTTGTATCGTATTAGTGTGAATGTATGAATATAATGAATGCCTAAGTCATTATGCAAAGGCTTCCAAGGCTCATTTCTGACCCCGGTCAAAAAAGTGACAATGTGTCAAGTTGTTGTATAAAGGCTTCTAAAGCTCATTTCTGACCTCGGTCAGAAAATTGACAGTAGTATCAAGTCATTGTTATCAAGTCATTGTACATGTAATCGAATTACTCAAAAATACAGAGAAAAAATGCACAAATAATGCAGGTCACGAGGTCAAGAAATTCTGCTTACTAAAAAGGCCCATGGGCGCCCACGGTGTCCATGGACAATGGGCCCTAAGGGTAGGGCCCGTCCATGGGCGTATGGATAGTGCCCATCGCCCGCTTACATAAGGCCCGTGGGCACTGCCCACCCGCCCGTCCATGGGCGATGTCGCAGTCTAGTTCGAAATCAGGCTCACCACTTGCACACGGAGATTTTATTTCGAACCCTCCTTTGAAACCCACTATATCATTTAGAGTAAACCTACCCTTCCCCCTTTCTCTGTATTCCGATACGGTTGTAAATTATAACCTAAAAAGCTTAAGGCCCTCATCAAATATGTGGAGCAAGGGGAGACCTCGAGACCCATGACGACATCCCTGACAGCGTTCGCGAGCAACTTTACGCCGAGGAGAATCAACGATGTGAAAAAAAAAAAATAGAAAATCTCAGATAATTCTGCGATCGGCTCAATCTGTCCTCCAATCAATATTAACAATTTTCTCCCAGCTGGATCATCTCAACAGTCGATGCCTTCTCTTGTTGCTAACGAAGCTTCACGTGCTACCTCTGCCTGTTCTGAACCAATCATCGTTCACGGGCTACTTGATGTACAGGATGTGTGTGTGTGTGTGTGAAATCATTTACCCTGACCCCTCGCGAGTTGGATCCCAGGTCACGTGATGTATATAGATCTATAGGAGTGGCTGCCTATTAGGCAGACACTCCGCTAGGCAGCAGGGAGATGAGCTGCTGTAACTACAAATAGCTGGATCTCTTCATATAGATGAATTATCACACTTGTACCTCAATCCAGGTTCCAACTTCGCGAACGATATGCAGGATACGACTACAATATATATCCGTGTACGTACATGTAGAGTGTTCCACTTCCTGAAAACGAACTTAGAGCCTCGTCAAGGCCTGTCGTGGCCTAACTGCCATTCCCATTGTTGGGCTGCCCCGGTGGCGCGCGACTCCGAAACCGTCCTGCCTCGCGAGACGGTGTCTGGTCTACCTTTCTCACCTTGTTTTGAGCCTCCCAGCAGGCTCGACACACTATTAAACGCGCCTCCAACTTCTCTCCTTAGCTCTCTCCGCAGTTCCCTCAAGTTTGGGCAATCCACCAGCACATGGGTGACTGTTTCTTGTGCGCCGCATGCGCACTGGTCGTCGTCACTATAACCAACATTCTTGCGGTACCTGGATAACCAGTTGTGGCCCGTGCGCAGCTGCGTCAAGAGGTACGCGCGGTTTCTCGGCAGGTTCCCGTATAGCCTCCTAGTGTAGCTTGCTGGTAGGGTGTTATCGATCTTTCGTAAGTGACCACCTTTGGTAGATGATTTTCATTCTTGTTCCCACTGAGAGTAGATGTTCCGACGGATGAACGCCCTCTCTCTGGTGAGGAGCGGGCGGAAAGGATGGGTTTTGCCTGGGCTGGCGGCGTCCTTTGCTAATCGATCTGCAGCGTCGTTTCCAGGATTGTCACAGTGCCCCGGCACCCATTGAAGGCGGAGTGCGATTCCCGCCGCTAGAACCTCGGCGCCAGCCTGGAGGATTGCGTGAACGATGCGTTGTCCTGATCTGATTCTCGCGCTTTGAACCGCCTGCAGGGCGGACCGGCTGTCGCACAGGATCGTCGCTGTCAGTTGCCTGTCTGCTGTTCTCAAGTGTTGGTGGGCGACCTTGAACACTACACTGATCGCGTAGAAGATGCCTATAAGCTCCGCGACGTGGACAGACCAGCGGCTCATCGGTCCTACTTGGACCTGCTGCGCCTCGACTATCTCTTGGTTGTTGTCGAGTGCTACAGCGGCGGCGCCTAGGTGGTCCTGTTGACCAGAAGCGTCAGAGTAGACAACAACGTCGGATGTCGAGCGAGTGGTCTCGGCCTTATGTGCCGCTGTCTCGCGATCAGACCCGATCTCAATCTCAGCGAAGGAATCGAGACGCCACGGCGGTAGTGGTCGTGGATCGATGATTTCCAATTCGTTTAGCCTGTCGATATTCATGGTCTTCATCGCTTCCGCGAGCGGGAAGCGAGAGTACGAGCTGACATTATTCCTGCGTTTCTGGGCTCGTGAGAGCGCACTCCAGATGGGGTGATCCCGTGGTAGAGTGTGGAGGCTAGCGATGGTCCTCTGGGCTCGGTGGCGGAGACGCAGGTGGGTGGGGAGAACGTGTGCTTCCACTTCCAAGGTCGTCGTGGCCACTGTTCTGAATGCTGACAGGATCCGGATCAGCGAGGTCCTTTGTATGGTGTTCAGCTGTCGGAGATGTGTCTTGTCTCGCATGTCTTGGCTCCGCGTGTTTGACTTGAGCATGAGGAGACCGGAATTAAAATTATGATTTTTGCGATCGCCATAATGAACGAACGCCACTGCATTGGGTGAAATGGAATATTTCCGGGTTCAGTAAATCTTTCCATCCATATTTGATGAAGCCGACGAGGAGCGCGCCGTACATGTCACATTGAATATCTCGCAGCGGATCACTCAATGCTATTAGACCTTCCGATCGAGGTTTTTTTTTTTCGCGTCGTTTGCATACCCGCACTCGCCGTTCCCTCTCAGCCAGTGAGAGGGTCAGTAGCTGTGAAATTATACTTTCTCGTCTTGTAGTATCTAAATTTGGCATTTTAACATTGGAATTATGTGACAGAAATAGACGGATACGACAATGTATGGTAAATCTGACATATGTAAATTCTCTAACTAACTAAAATGACAAGATCCGCTCTTTTCCAATCTCGGCGGACATAGCTGATTAAGCAATGTATGTATTTTTGTATGGTACCGTTATCATGACGGTCCATTGATTTCCCGGTTTGTAAAGACCTGGTAATTTCAGCATGCATAAATGCATAGTACTTGACACACCCCCCCAGTTCTTGAAGCTATTCAAAGCTCTCAAGGACTGCCTTTCTTCCAACTGTTTCGCAGCTGCTTCGCAACCGCTTCGCAAATGATTCGCAAGTGATTCCAACTTACCTCACCTGTCTCCTCACTGATCTCGGCTCAAATCGTCGATTTATGCAGTTTCCGCAAAACAGCCTCTGTTCTCAGAGGTCATGTGACGAATCATGTGACCTACGTCCCTCATTCCAACCAACTCTCTGAAGTGTCCCTGCTTCTGCTTCGTCAGAGCTTTGGTGAGCCCATCTGCTGGCATCGCAGCAGTTGGTACCCAGTCCACATATACTCGACCTGCGCTAACTTCTTGCTTCATCCAGCATCGATTGATGTCAACATGCCGGAGCTTCGTATGCATCGCGGCCCCTTCCTTCGTCAATAAATCGACAGTTTGCTGGTTGTCACACATGATGGATAGTGGGTGATCTGGTTCGAAGCCTAGTGCATTAAGCACTCGTCGCCACCACTGTACGGTTTTTCCTGCCTCTGCTAAAGCTAGTAGTTCGGCCTCGGTAGTCGATGTGGTGACAGTCTTCTGCTTAGTGGCCTTCCAATCGATTGGGCCACCATATAACTTGCAGATATACCCTTCGGAGCTCTTTCGATCTTTATGGTCTCCGAACGACGCATCGCTTGCAAATTCAACCGATTTCGCCGCCATCGTCAGGGTCGTATCTCGATTTCTAGGTTGTTTGTTTGGTGTTCTGATGCTGTTTGGTGTTCTGATGCCGTATTCAATGGCCCAAAAGCGTGTCTCATAGAGATACTGTATGATGCGATCGACTGCATCTATATGCTTTGGTCCTGGATTTGTAAGGAATTCAGCCACTTTGGAGGTTGCTTTTGCAGCATCTACCCGGGTAATGGTGGTGGCATACTGCGCAGATCCAACCTTGGCCTGGAAACCATGAATCTGTTGCGGTGATGCCACCCCATCATAGGGTACTAGAGGCTCAATGCTCAGTGGGGACCCTATTTTTCTCTCTGTGACGAGATTGTATTTGTGTGCCATGCTCTCGATGTAGCTATCTTGGCATAACCAGAGCTTCTTCTGCTCTCTATCACGTATAATACGTATATTCAAGAACCAGCTTGCATCCAGTTCTCGAAGCTCCCATTGCTTCTTTAGATTTTGATCTAGTAAAGCGGCTTCTTTAGCCTGTTTGGGGTGATTGACGATGATGATATCGTCCACGTAGAAAAAGACAATAATGCCTTTGGTTGTAAAGATGCATGGATCTTCTTCCACTGGGGTAAGGCCTAGTTTTACTAGCACCTTTGTAGCTTCTTGCTGCCAAAGCCTTGGTGACATGCGCAATCCGTAGAGGGCTCTATGCAGGAGCCAGCACTGATTTAGTGCTTCGAAGCCTGGTGGACACTTGGTATAAACCTCGCTTTCTAGCATTGAATTCAGGAATGCGGTAACCACATCTCTCTGAATCATATCTAGATCAAAGGCGGCAACTAGTGCGAATACTGCTCTCGCTGTTTTGACAGCTAGTGTAGCAGCTCTCTTTTCTTCAGTTGACATCCACTGTAGATCTCCTCTCACGCAGATTCTTGCTTTGAACTTCTCGAGCATACCATCTGCATCAAATTTGTATGTAAATACCCACTTCAATGGCAAGATCTGGGTGCTCTTTTTGTTCGGTAATGCAACCTGAGAGAAGGTCTCTTTAGCCTTTAAGGTCTCAATTTCAAACTCCGCAGCTGCCTTCAATTGCGTGGCAAAGGGATGGATTTTTAGCCGCTTCCAGTTCTCTGGTGGTGGAGGCATCTGATCTCTATGCAGTCTGTTTTGCATATTGAGCTTCTTCGTAATACCTGTTGTAAAGGCATATAGAAGGCTTGGTGGCTCGGCTAGCTGTTTCTCGTCTAGCGATAGATATGCAGTGTAGTCTGGATCTGCCTTTGGCTTCCGTATTCTGGGGCCTGAGATGATGTTAGATTCATCAATTGACGCAGAGATCTCTCTAGTAGGCCGATCTTCTGGCTCTGGAGTAGGCGTATACTGCATCTCTTGTTGCAATTGACGCTCTATCTCTGCTTCATCTTCATCATATTGATCTCCCTCTCCCCCTTCAGCTTCGATCGACTGTATGACATTGATCGGATCTGGCGAAGATAGCGAGGTAGGAGATCTCTCATGTGGCGTACTCTCAATCGTAGCAATCGACGATAGTGCTCTTTGTGGTGAGGCTCTCTGTGGTGACATAGGGAAGCTCCCAGGGATCTGTTCTTGATCCCTTACCTCTATCATTGAGATATGTTCTACCACTGAAGCAGGGCCTGCCATTGAAGCCGGTGTTAAAGGTAAAACAGGTGTTTCCTTTAAAGGGGGGACCCTTGGTGTCTCCTCCCTACTATCTAGAGTTTGAGCTTGCTCCACAACTCTAGATTCCTGGATTTCTTCATTTACCGCCTCTGGTGCAGTACCTTGTTCTCGGTTTTCGACGTCATCATTGAGAGTTATGCGAGCAATTGACATCGGCATACGCATCTCTATGCTCAATTCTGACTGCGCTTCTTCCATTGAGAGCACTTGGGGCCAGTTCTTAGCGCTTAGTCCATTTGTCATAGTACTAATTGCATCTTCTTCTTGCGGTAAAGGCTTCGTTTTAGAGTACTGTCTCGATTCATCGAATACAGCATCTCTTACAACTTCAACTCTGCCTATGCCTGCTCGCCCTTTGTATGGAAACCAGATCTTGTATAGGCTCTTTGAAACATAGCCTACAAGATAGCCGATCTCTGCTCTCGGAGCCATCTTGTTAGATTGTACTCTCTTCAGAAGCCTTGAGTACGTTAAGCACCCATATAGCCTCATATTCGACAGGTTGACAATTTGATCTTTTAAGCCATCTGGAGCCGCATAGCGCATCAATTCCTTCCATGGTATGATCCACTTACCATCCATCTTTGTAGGGGTACGATTCATCATATATGCAGATGCATACATCGTCTCTGGCCATAGATTGTGGGGTAGGTTCGTACCATTGAGCAATGCTCTGCCGTTCCTTACTATCATGCCTCCAGATCTCTCTGCTGGTCCATTCATCTCTGGCAAGCCAGGTGGTGCATGCTCAATGGTACACCCTTCGTCTTCAATCATAGATTCAACCTCATTGCCGGCGCTTCTCTCATTATCATAATGAAATACCCTGATCTCGATTTTCAACCAGTTTCGGATCAATGCTAAGAATTTACGAACTGCCATCTGACACTCGCTCTTCTTTATATGGGTAAATACGAAGTGACACCTTATTCCATCGAGATAGAAGTGCGTCATCCATATATGACCGTTGTAGGCAGGCTGGTTTTGTACTAGATCGAAGTGTACTCTCCCTAATATACCATATGCCTGGCCTATCTTCCGGCGAGAGATTTGCCTAGGTGCATCTGCCAATTGACAAGCTTCACATACCTGCATTTCTTTGCCTGGGTTGCTTGCAATAGTGATTCCTTCAGTCATCTCTGCCAGTTTGACAATTCGCGCCTTGCCAATGTGGCCTAATCGACGATGCCAGAGCTCAATTGAAGCCTCAGATTTTGGCTCCTGATTGGATTTCTTAGTGGCAAACGTCATTTCAGGCTTCAAATCTGATGCCTTTTGGGTTATAAAACCCCTTGTCTGGGTGAGCCATGATAGCTTCTGATCGTGGTAGATCTTATAGATCTGACGATGGCCATCAATTGTCTCAATGCAGTTTGCTCTGAGATTCATTAATAGGCCCCCCTTCATCATCAATCCATGAGATATCAGATTACTATGGAAGTTTGGCGAGTACCTAGTTTGAAATAGGTTCATCTTAACGGCGCTTCCAGTGGTAGGGTTTACACCATAGATGACCACAGTGCCTATACCGGCCACCTTCGTCTCTGTATCTCCCACTTTGACGTTGCTCTGTACGCTTTTAAAGGTGCTAAACAAGCTCCGATTGTTGCATACGTGGATTTGAGCACCTGTATCAACTACCCATCTGTCTTCTGTAGGTGTAGTTGTGGCTTCAAAATCCTTGATTTTTGTTGACATAACGGTGTCAATTTTGACTGCGTTGGTTGTCAAGAAGCCAAAGGCTTCATCGTCGAGGGTTGTATTCGCTTGCTCTTTAGCAAGGGTCCCCCTTGGCCTTCTGCATATGCAGCTCGCTTCTTGTCGACAATTGCCTTCCATCTAGGATTAGCCTTCATGGCCTTCTCCCACTTCTGTTTCAATGCCGGTGAGGGCTGGTAATTAGCAGGCCTTCTATCTTCATAGATTTCCCAGCAGGCCCAAGGCATATGAACTCTCGATTTTACCCTGTCACATGGACATGGCCTTCTTTCTAGGCCATCATTCCTTGCCTCTATAGGCTTTGCTTCTTCATTGCCTTGCCATGTCGAGAAAGCAGCCTTTGAGATGCCTCTTTGCGCAGCCGGCCTGCCATGGGTAATCTTCCAGTGGGCTTTGTACCGAGTCATGATTTCGAAGAAAGGGATGTCCTGATTATCCTGTACTCTGAGAGCCCATGTTTCATAGAATCCAGGCGACATTATAGAGATTGCTTCAAGGAATTGATTCGTGGCATCCTCTGCTTCTGGCATCCTTGCCTTCTTACACGATTGGTAAAGCGATTCCCAGTTTAGAAGCCATTTCTCGATATCGGTGTTCCGATCTAGGCCTCTATCTAGGTTCCGCCACTGTTGACGGAGCTTAGTTTTGTATGTAGGATCGCTCTCTGGTGCAAATCGTTTGTGGAGATTGAGCATCAGCTCCAAAGGTGATGGTATATCAATGATAAAGGGCTGGTAGGGAGTATCAACTGACTGCCTAATTGCCACCGCCACTAGATCTAATGCCTGTAGTTTCGACTGATAGGCTCTGTTCTCTGCATCCCAATCTGCTTTTAGGGATAGCCTCACATTGAACCAGTGTTCTGGGTATTCTTTTATGGCATCTTTGACAGAGATGATCTCTTCAGGTGGTTCCAATTTAGGACGTTCTTCCTCCTTAAGAGACGGATTGCATTGATCCCATACTTTATATGCAACTGCAATTGCTTTAATATATGAGAGCCATGCATCCCATGATTCTGTATCCTTCAAAATGACGCGGGAGGAGGCCGCGGAGAGGCTTAACATGATATTCATTATTGTCGATTTTCGTCGATGAATCTGATCTTCTTCGAAGGAGATAGGGGTGCTTCGACGATTCAGGGGTTGACCGTTGTCAAAACCACTGTGAATCGGCGACAGCTAGGTAAAAGATGGTCTATATGTTGTAGACAGATCTTAATTGGAACGAAGCCGGGCTCATAACTGACAGAAATAGACGGATACGACAATGTATGGTAAATCTGACATATGTAAATTCTCTAACTAACTAAAATGACAAGATCCGCTCTTTTCCAATCTCGGCGGACATAGCTGATTAAGCAATGTATGTATTTTTGTATGGTACCGTTATCATGACGGTCCATTGATTTCCCGGTTTGTAAAGACCTGGTAATTTCAGCATGCATAAATGCATAGTACTTGACATTATGTTCTTCCTGATTGACCGGTTCCGGCCAGCTGTCAGAATAATTGGTCAAAGATGAAGAGAATTGATGCACCATCTTTAGACGGACGTTAAGAGAAATTTTAAAGAGGTAGAATTTTAAATGAAAACAGACTGGGAAACAGAAAGAATATAGAAAGGTTCTTGCACGTTCAGCCCTTCCGCATCTAATACGTAGCCAAATTTGGCAGGTCTCGCATCATAGGCTAGATCACGCCTCGATAGCGAGAGTTTTCGCAGCATCCTACTAGACTGGGCGCATCGTGGCGGTGACGATACAAATTGCCCATGGGAGCACAGACTATATGGCTATTTCATCTAAAGTACACAGTAAACTTTCACGTGATACTCCTTACAGTACATTTCGGTAATTCTGAAACGCTAGAGCAACTAGAGCCTAGCGCGTTTCGAATAGGGTTCGAGAAAAAATCAAAGAGAGTAAAGTGGTGAAACTGATTTCGATCCATCCTGTAGCCGTGGGATCCATCCTGTATTCCAAAGCAGAAACAATCTCTATAAGCGGGGTGATGAAACTGATTTCGATCCTCCCTGTACCTCGTCACGTCGATCATTTCGGAGTCATTCAAACCCGCTGTACACATCGACGAGCCAAGGGAATCGAGATACACGGTACACCCTGGGAGGCACTCATCCTGTAGAACGCGATCTTCGATATAAAACTGTTGTGGTTGTGTACCGAGCGGGAGCTAACCCCGGACCGATGTCGGACCCACCCCCGGGAGGGCCCGAGCTCCCTCCCACAAACACCCAAGAAACCCACGCCAGCTTCTCAGTTGAAGACTTCCAGCCTCGAGTATCGATCGACACAGGCCAAATCATAGGGAAAAGAACGAGAAATGGCGAAGCTTATACACCCACCGAGGGCACAGGCCGGATTACCACCAGAGAGGTGTGGAAGCTCATCGACAACCTCAAGGATATCATCCGTCGCCAAACCACGCTCATCGAATCCACCAAAGCCGACCTAGAGGAGGTCAAGCACGACCAGAACGTCCTCCGAGAACAGAATGACAAGCTTCACGAAGAAGTCAGGGCGCTGAGAGCACAAATCGAAGCCAGCCCACAACCAAACCCGCCTAGAACATGGGCAGCGATAGCAGCCAGCGGTACCAGTGACCCGCATCCATGCCTCCAACGACCCGAAAAGGACCAGAACTGCGTCCGCATTAGCACGCAGAGATCATTGGTGGACCCGAGAGACAATGAGAATAGCGAAGGGAATTCTTTCGGGCGATACCTCTCTACCGACTCTGCTAACACCTATATCCGTTCAGCGCTTTTAAGCGCACCTTCGGCTCAAGATGCCCAAGTGGCCGGCATTGGCACCACTAAAACGGGATACTTAATTAAATGCCATCTCTACCACGACAACTACGGGTCAGACCACCGCGCCACGTACTCGGAATGGAATCTCCAAGCTCGATTTAAACTCGTCACCAAGGCAAGGAAAGCGTTCGACCGGGCGGAATGGAACAAGATCGGCGAGGAGGTGTTGCGGCAAATCGGCCCGTGGAAGGAAATCAAAACACGACCAGCACTAGACGGCATGGTGCAGAAACTCATAGAAGCAACAACCGCAGCCGTAAATCGGTATACACCTGATGTACGCCCGACACCATATTCCAAGCGATGGTTTACCCCGGACCTCAAGGTTCAACAAACCAAGGCCAACCAGCTCCGCCGAAAATGGCAGGAATCCTGTGCCCAACTTGGACGAGAAGCGCACGAGTGCTTCTGCTCCTTTCGTCTCCAACCAAGGTGTACACAAAGTCGCGGTTATTAGCCAGCCAAGAGACGACATCTGATAGTTGCTTAGGGTTGACTTCAAAATTGTTTGTGTTGACATCCGGCGGGCTGAGATATATTTGCCATATATTTCGTGGAAATAAAGAGGCCCAGGCCTGAGTTGGAAGCACTTGGTTTGTTTCGTTGTTGGTGCTTGACTCGGTTGGAGGATCGACATGATACTGGAGGGAATAACGAAGTAGGGCGGCCACCATAAGCAACCACAAGACAATCAATAGCCCGACTTTTAGCACATGCTTCTGAAGCCTCGAAAACCGGAAAATGCTTTCAAGGCGCACCACAAAAGATCGGAATAATGAGGGGAATCGTTCTAGCCGCTCCTTGAACATCTTGCCGAATCGCTGCAGAATGAGTGTCATGGAGAGCAAGGTCGAAAGATGTGTCAAAGATCACATACAGGTTTGTTGCGGCTTTTATCTATATTTGCAGACTGGGCCTTCCGCAGAATTTGGTATACCTGCGCTTCGCGGGAGACTTCTTTCCACAGCCCCGATGTGGTTCCTTTTCCAATAACAGTGTAGCCATATTCAACACAAGCAAGTTCAAACGGAGTATGCCCCGCAACCGCCAAGAGGTGTGCATCGGTCAATGTTTTCGTCCAGTTGCGCATTAAGTAAACGGACCAAATCTTTTTAGGTAATCGGATGTTGGGGATTGTCTTTGCTTCGATGATGGAGCATCACATTTGGACAGCAGTCATCTAACACACCGCCAGACTGCAATCCGAGTAAACATCGTTGGGTGCAAAATTGCGCATCGTGATACCGGGCCTGGTTGCCTTGATTATTTCCCGCGTCCCGTTGATGACCTGCTCGTTGGGAAGATGGGGAGGATGTAACTTGGTTGAAGCCCCGTTTGCGGCCAATTGCTTGGTTCGAATTGGAGCCTGATGAGTCTGGCGACTGCGAGCGACGCTGTACAGCCGAGGGTGCACAGCTGGTCTGAGATCTTGTAGGCACTCGGTGAGCCACTGCCTTTGGAGAATCCGGTGGAGATGATGGCGGTTCATAAGCTGAACCGGAATCAAGACTCGTGTACTTTAAGGTTGTGCTATCGGAGTGGGGAAGAGTCTGCGGCAGTTGTGGTTTAGGAATCTGGGAATGAGTGTGGTCAAAACTGGTCGTCCAAAGAGGAAGCTCTGGTCGTGCGGAATTTCGCCATTCTTGGCCACGTGCAGGTGAGCGAAAGGCCATCAAATACAGGCAGAGCGTTCTTGCAACAGAAGTCTTCGGTTACCTTTTTCCAATGAACTTCAAGAAGACAGCTTACAATAACATCTTCTGCATCCCCGAATGAGAACCGAGTTAAGTTGTTGACTGACTCATGGCTTCGATCAAGGCCGTTCATCCATCGGTCGATGGTGTTTAGATCTCATTGTCCATTGGCAAATTTTAGATATGGGTATTGCTTGGTTGTAGAGATGATTTTACATTCGATGGCGCCGAGAGAACGATCGTATCCTCGACGCAGAAGCAGGTGGCGGACCGTCGTATCCCGCTAACCCTGTGCGTCTGATTAATTCAATCACTTGATTGTGTACTTCCTGTCAACGTAAGCTAGCTAATATTATATGTCGTCAGATGGAGATCAGTCCTTCCTTCCAGTTTAGTTAGCATTAGCACAAGCCCGTCGCACTGCTAATCTCTAGACTAGAGATGGGCTCGTCAGCTCTGTCCTTGGTATCTATCACTAGAGAAGATGAGCAGTAGACAACAGGCCGCGGTGAAAAGACTGCTGTTACAATACCATATTGCACTCAGAGAACCCGATCGCCGTGAACACATCAATTGAAATCTCTTTCTATAAACTAGCTGAACCCTAAAAGCCTCGCAAATAAATCTTGACATGCCCATGCTTGCGTTCCTTGGCGATGGCATACGCCGTCTGGCCATTTGAATCTTTCAGTCGCTTTTTCACACCACGCTGATTGGCCAACAAATGTACAACCTCAAAATGCCCACCAGCCGCACCCCACCAGAAAGATGTTCTCCCCTGGTCGTCCACCGCATTTACATTTATGTTGGGATGCTCCAATAATATTTCGGCAATTTCAAACCTACCGTGAGCTGACGCAAACATGAGCGCAGTAAAGGAGCTAGGGCCTTGGTCATTGATCAACAAAGATTCTCCGTAGCTGAGAAGGAGATGGACAATGTCGACGTGCTCCATGATTATTGCGACCTGAAGTGGCGACGTCCCCGATGGACTTTTTTGGTTAATGTCGGCTGAACTTTGTAAAAGAAATTCCACCATTGAAAATTGTCCTGCGCGACATGCTGACCAGAGCGGCGGAAATGCATCGGCAGATTGAGGGCTTTTATGAAGCCCCGGCTGACGGAAGAGGACTTTGATCAAGTCTAAGGAGCCATTTGCAGCAGCCTTTGCCAAAGGTGTCTGACCCAGCTTGTCGGCGCAATTGAGGTCCAGATTTGTTTGCTGCAAGAGGAGCTCAGCCAGTTTTATGTCGGAATTGTTCACTGCATACCAGATTGCGGTACGTCCATTCTCATCTTGATAATTAAGGTTGATGCATGGACTTAAAAGCAAGGCTTCAATGATGAGTAGTCTTTTGTTGATGGGGAGAAAACGACCGTGTCCTTTGACAGCCAGAAGCAACGGAGTTTCCTGTCGGTGGTTGAAACAGTTGACATCAACTCGCGGATTTCGTACAAGCATTTGGATTGCTCCATAATCGCCAATTTCTGTCGCTAGGTGCAGTGGTGTTTGGCCATGATGGTCGCAGATGTTGACATTTGTCCGCTCATCAGACAAGAGAAGTTGGAAGATGTAGGTTTGGTGACAGGTCAGCGCAATTGAAATGGGCGCATTTCCGTCCAGGGATTGGTTATTGAGATCAATGTTCTGTACATTGAGGAGTCGTTCGACAATTTTCACGCTTCCATGCAGAACAGCGATCGAGAAGGCACTTTCTCCCAAAGTATTACGCTGTATGACTTTCACTGAATGATGGCTTAAGAGCAAATTAACAGCGTCTGCGTACCGCAATTTTGTAGCCAACATGAGCGGTGTAAGGCCAGAAAACGGTTGGTTGATATCTGCCTTTTCCCAACCCAGAGAGTGCTGGATGATGCCTAAGTTTCTATGCTCGAGTGCCCAATGAATTGGCGGGGTGTCTTGGAAGTCTATGCAATCAAAGAGGCTTTTTGTGAAGACGACGTTGGACTCTCGAGATGTGAGACGCAGACTTCGAAGGTCCTTCTTGTCGATGGACGTGCCAATCCACAAAAGTAATTCTAGTGGAAGTCCCAAAAGCGGCATCTTGGCAGATTTCGTGAACGTATAGGTAACGACTACCTATACAGATGGTAATAAAAGGATGGCTAAGAGTAATAATTCAGAGAGAAGTCTGTCACCCCCAGTAGTTGGCTGAGGAGCTTTGGAGACGCATTTCTTTGAGGCAGTGGCTTCTATTTAAATATTTTTTGAGGGCATATCATGGATACGGATATATTTAAAAGTGGATGTCGAGTCACCGGCTTCTAGGATCGTGATACTTACTCCTGGGATCCTGCGGCTGGTTCCTAGGAGCCCCAAGGATCCCGGGATATGTTATAGTGTTCCCAGGAAGCACGCACCTATTCCTGGGAGTTATGCATCGTATTTCCAGGGTTATACATATAGCATACAAGCTAAATTGAGATATGATCTGCTGGACCCACATGGTGCATATGGGATCCCCTCCACGCGGAAGCTTCCTCGCGCTACGTCTTTAATTTAGAGTCGACTATAGATTTTGATATTGATTATTCATCCGGAAGACGCTGTCCTCATTCACGTATACGTGAGACCCTCACAGCCCAAGAGCAAGCAATACGATCCCAGAAGCTTGTGGCTTGACATCCAAAGTAGACGATCTTATACCGATGAGGCCGACGTTTACACCGCGGGAACGTCAGCAATGCATAAGCCCTCTAAAAATATTTTAAATAGAGGCCATTGGCCTTTGAAAATCTGTATCTGACAATTATCTTATTTCTCCTACAAGAAGTGGTAAATCGTCCGAAAAGCCAAAACCGATCAAAAATGCCTCCACATAGAAGACGTGTGGCGTCGGACCGCCCGAACCCATCCCCCTTACCAATCGTTTATCAAGGTCAGTCTGGGATTGAAGTGCCATGAAAGTTCCGAATTAACTTGTCTCAGGCACGCAACATCCAAATCAAAGGCTCGAGGGAATCATTACGAGCATATATGCTGAAATGTCAAAAATGCAACAAAAACACTACGAGGCAACTGTTATGCTACAAAACTGCGACAACATGTTACGGGCCCACGCAGTGGACAAAGACGTCTTGGAGAAGCAGAACCAGCTTTTTATTGAACATATCAAGATAGCTCAACAAAAAGCTTGCAACCTAGAGCTCAAGAATAGGGAACTCGAGTACCAACTGGCAAAAGAGAGACAGCAACACCGCAAACAACCAGAAGGAAGGCAGACTTAAAGATTTACTGTTGAAGTCACAAACTTTGCCCGGTGACCGATCGCACTCTAGGTATTCGGGCTTACCAGCTTTCGAGGTCCTCACTAGCGAGGCTCTGAACAGGAAGAAAGAAGAGGTTTCCGGAGAAGATCAATGACGTCATAAATGATGGCCAGGTGAACAGGGTACTACATCCATTGGAGCTAGAATGCTCAATTCTGTGGATTAAAACATGCGAAGGATCATTTTGTTGCGGCGACCGTTCTGAAACGGGATTGTGTGAAAGGCAGGCAGTGCATTACTTTGCCTGACCCCGCAAGAAACAGACTGTAAACAGATGGAGGCGATGTATTACCTAAATCAAAGTCGTTTCAGAGTTTTGTATCAACACAATGTTGCAATTTCAGTGTGCGACGATAGAAAGCTTGTGATTGTCCACCAATAAATCCCTTGACCCTGTATCCCTAGAATTCGTGCAAGAACAAAGGGACTTCAACTGACCCTATGCCCGGATTGCCAGCTACGGTGCTTGCTAGATTAGCTCTGTGTTGTAGGTTCCAACGTCATGACAAGAAAATGGCTTAGAGTTCAATAAGTCTGTTTTATGCTCTTTATTTGTCGCTAGTCATTCCCAGACGACATTGTCCCTCCCAGGAACCACCGAGTCTCCTGGGAGCCTGATACAAGCTCCTAGGAACCGAATAAATGCTCCCAGGAACGGCACGGGTAGTCCCAGGAGCCCCTGAGCTCCCGGGAACTTAGAATTGGGCCCTAGGAGCTTGTATCAGGCTCCCGGGAGACTCGGTGGTTCCTGGGGACGATGCGGCCGCTCCTGGGGCAGGAAGCTGGTCTCTAGGAGTACTCAGAGAGTTCCTGGATGCCAATAGGTTCTTAGGAGCGCATGTTACTCACCTGGGACGAGCAAGTTTCTACGTAATCATGTTGAACTCGTAGATCGGTCCCACGCTTTTTTATATCAATTTTGTCCACAGGCCAACCATAACTAGAAATTAAATACTTAGCAGCTATAATATAATACAAGGTAAAACATACATGGTACGTTACATTACACTCAATAATTACTTACTAAGTTTTCTTGTTCGTCTGTGGCGGTGCAGATTATGTAACTGTAATGTAACTGTCTGTTTCCATGTAACAAGCTGGCTGTATTGGGCTTTCGCCAGAACAGCCACCAAGTTGCTTGCATTGCTAGTCTTCACGGTCTGTTACCTGTTGCCCACTGCAGTTATTTTCCGGATAGGCCCAATCAAATACGACTAGAAATAAGAACTCGACTATCATTTAAAGGGCTATCCGCGGGCCCACCTAAAAAGGAAGCTCATCATGCTTCGAACTTGTGCGCTGAAAGTGTAGGGTGTTTGCCCCTCGAGTTTAACGTACATCGCGCTTACTCTTTAAAGAACGAGCCCGCGATTCTCCCGGAATTTGAGCCATTAATTTCTAACTGATCCCTTATTCTCGCACAGCTAGGAACTTTCAGATGGTGTGACAAGGAGTCTAGTTAGGTCGGCGAGGGTTGGACTACGCGGCTGAATAGCAAATTTTGTACAGACTGATAATAACCAAGCACAAGTGAAATACTATTGATTGAAAATATGATTCAGTTGCCCTTTCAATTGGCCCGAGATCTGGTGCATCTCTGAGAAGGCTTCAATTCCATCCAAGCCTGTCGCAGTAACGCCATATCAATATCCGCGAAATGAGGCCCGATCTGTCTCAGGGTCAGATTCTGTCTCTGTAGGTCACGCAACTTTCGTTTGTTCTTTGCATTAAGCCTCTGCCGGGGCTTGCAGCTGTTCAAACTATCTGAATGATGCTGGGGCGACTGAGTTTGTGCCTTGGATCTAGTGAGGGTTCTGCGAGGGCCACCGGGAGGGGCTTGATCATCAACAGACAGGTTTCCCTCGCCGCCTTCTCCCCGTGTAAGTGGATGACTCTCCCACTCAAATTCCGCAGTAACAGGTTGGTCACAGGTCGACAAAGAGGTGAGACATTGCAGTCCTTTCCTCTCATTGGCTTCAGTGACAGCATAGTATCCAGAAGGCTGACTGGCAAAGCTTAGAGCGGGAGGTTGCGGCTGTGTTATGCCACTGACGGACATTTTGGTGGCCTCATCCTCTTCTGGTGGGAAAGTGAGTGAATTTAGCTGGATGACAACTGGGTCACAAGATTGACGGGCATTGTCGCTGTTGAATTTAGGAGGTTCGAGGATTCGAGGATCAATGGCCTCAAGACCTGGAGTTGTTGGCCCCGAGCTGGGTGGGGGACTTGCCTCCAAGAAGCATAGTTCCACTGAGTTGCTTCTACTGCTCGTGCTATATTTGTCACACATACTTGGCCCCGAGTATTGTTCCAGATTCTCTTCGACAGACGGAAGCAAGGCCGGGACGGGGACAAATGATTCTTCTGGCACGTGCTCACGCTCATGGCACGGAGGTGTGTAATGATGAAATCTGATTTTCTTGGGATGCTCCTCTCCTGGTTCTGTTGAAGAGCATTGTGATTCCACCTTGCAAGTGCGCTTCCTTTTGTTGGGTAGCTTTGGATTTTCTTGCCATATGGTTTCCTTTAGCCCATGTGCATCGTGTAAGTGATTTCGAAGGTCACGCTCATTGTTAAAGATTTGAGAGCATCCGCATATCGGCTTTTTCTTGAAACGCTGAATTTCAGCCATGTGCTGCCCTTCAATGTGTTCCCTCAGGTTGTCACTTCGCAGCCAGGATCGCAAACGGGTTTCTGCGGAGAGATTCAGGTTCGGGTCCCACAAGCAAAAGGGGCAATAGCCCGGGCGAATGACGGTATGGCGATAGATGATCACTTCGCAGTGCTGGATTTGCCATGACTGGAGATGGGCATCGCAATGCTTCCGCCATTGACTCGACAAAAACCATTCCATGCATTCATAGCAAAACCGCATCTCTGATTCTGATATTTGAAGGTCAGAAGCTTTCTCACGCCGAACACATCCGTGAATGTGGGCACTTCTATCACACTTCCTCAGACTAGCGGAGTTAGTATTGGCCATGTCATTATTCAGCCAGGGCACTCACCTTGCAATGCTGATATGGCACCCTTTTGCAGGACAAAGCCCATGAACCGGACTTTGATTTGGGAGGTATACCACATCAAAATCACGGGCACACTGCGTCTGTAGATCTTGAACAAGAAGAAGTTTTTCGTCAAAGGAAAGCTCTTTGGTGCAGGACATGGCTGTTGCGATTCGCGCAACCTCGGGCATAATCAACATTTGAGCACGTGTGCGAATGTCATTTTCCAAATGAGTCGGCTCTTCTTTTCCTCGGTTGATAATTTTCTGGTCTCTTTTCTCCTGTGCCCACCGTTTTTGATATTGCTTGAGTTCGAACAGGCGATGCCGAACGAGCGCCTTCCTGTATTCCAAATTCATGTTCTTGAAGGAATCCTTGTCGTGGTTCTGCGCGAATGATTCGATCTGGGCTCTCATTTCCACCATATCTGGTTTTTCCAAAATACTCCCTTTGATCTCTGCTGGCAACTCGCCTGGCAAGCCACGTTCGTAATATTGAATATAACCTTGAAAGTACTCGATATGATCGGATTGGTCATCCTCATCTAGAACGGCTCCCACTGTATCTATGGAGGAACAGTGGGCTTGATAATGCTCCGGAAAGGTGCCTGGGCCCCGATGCGCCATAATTTGACTGACAGGTGCAGAGCCATTTCTCTCTGTAAAGATCTTAGTATGAAGAGCTCTCTCGAGTGTCTATCGATTGTTTTGTGTGGTTTCAGGAGCTTACTTTCGATTTTTTTCCCAAGGCCTCGTCGTATACAATGGATAGTTGCCAGTTCACCAAAGTACCCTGCAGCATTAAAAATCTGACGCAGGCAAGAACAAAATTTTTGTTTCGTCAAAGGTGTCTCCTGAGGCCCATCAGCCGTGGCATGTCTGAGAACTGGTTTATCCATGTACTCTTCCTTCCATCGCAAATGAATCTCGCCATTTGAAAGATCAAACTGCGCTAGATCATCCACGGTATCCACCCCATAAATAGCACCGTGCGCTAATGCAAGGGAGAAAAGAAGGTAGCCCGACGCAAATTGCGGCCTGTTGCTGTCCCGGATACCAATTCCGAATCTAGAAGCACCAGTTAATGAAGTTCCCGTATATTCGACAAATATAACACTAGGTCCTTCTAACTCACACTGTGTATTTTTCACATCGAAGATTCTTGAGCCACTTCTGATCCACCTTCCAACCCACCGCCCAACGAGCTGTGGATGAAGGAAATAGTACCAATTTGATATGCTAGAATAGAGATTAATGTTATATAATATCGCTGGGGTAAAGAAGCCTTACTCTGTATCGAAGACCTCTTTCATGTTTGTCCTCACTAGAGGGTACGAAAGCTCCGACTCTTGCTCCAGTAAAGAGGAACAGCTGGAGAGCAAACAAGATGACAACTTTGAGCAGTCCCGGAATGAACGTTTGGTGATCAGTCTGCCACAAAGACGAGACTGTTCTCAAAAAATCATGCCTTGTGAAGTTAAGTTTCTCTTTCTTTTGGTCTACAACGACGCCATCTGCCGTCAAGGTTTTTTTGATCCACTGCATCGAGGTTAGTGTGGTCTCAGAGGGGAATTTACGAATAAACCAACCATTTTTATTTCCTTTCGATCGTCTGGGATGATTTTACTTTTTGTGAATTGTTCAAATCCACCAAAGAATTGTTCGGCATGCGCACTCACGGTTCTTACCGTAGGTAGCCCATCATCGTTCAGTCGCCCTTGAGTAGAACTTGCGTACCAGCGAATGTACGCCTTGATCATCTCATGAGTTGGAGCCGGAGAACCAAGGGAGGTTTGGTAATATTCAAACCCATTCTCCGGGTCTGCAGTGAAACTAAAGGAAGATCAGCAGAATTCATAATAGGAAAGGGATTGCCACTTCAAATGCGGCTTAACTCACTCGAGCCAGAGGTTCATAGTTTCTTGATGTAATTTGTTGGTCTTGGGAAGCCTTTTGTCTTTCTCCCGAATTGAGTCCTCCTCTCTATGGACCCCAGGAGCATAACCATTCTTTTCTCGCTGTAGACGGCGCCTCTCCTTAGCGATTCCATCGCGCTTGGCAAAAAAGTCTTTTCTGCCCATAATCAAGTGCGGTGCAACCTGGAGGTAGGGGATGTATTCAAAGTAAAATAATGCGATATTAGATTAATGTACCAAGTAAAAGGCGCTTGAATAGAAGGCGTGTTGGTTATTACATGCTAATGCTGGCACACGGTCTGCCTTTATATTTGGGACTTTGAGCTCGAGCCGCTCTGAATTAGAAGACAGAAGGAAGACATCATGAAACGAATGGAGTTCTCCGCTCTTTCCTGCGCCCCTTCGTCATAATGTATTTTCTTGATGAGGTGTAGTGCTCCGGAAAATGAGGGCAGCAACAATGCTTTCAACGAACTAACTATCACAGTATAAACGACCCTGTGGGGGCTAATCCCTTCTGGGTAAGGTCTGAGGTGGGCTGAGTGCATCAGTGTTGCTCACTGATTGGACACTGAGCATCACTGAGTAATCAGAGAGCATCCAATGAGCACTCACTGAGCACTCACTGAGCATCAGTCATCCTGCACGTGACTGATCTGAGCATGATCACTGATCTGAGCCCGTGCTGACATCTACTCAGTGAGCCTGAGCCTGAGCACCCTCATAAAAGCGGCGGCAGCTCAAATAGGAAAGCCCCACCCGCCAGGGAATATCCGGTACGTATAGTTACATATGTATTGATCTCAGGATTCGGATCCTTCTTGCTTTATATTATTTCTGTTCTTTTTGCACTTCTGTGAAAGTGGTAGTTCGATTTTGGGAGATATGACGTCACTGAATAAACTATGAAAAGGCGGGGGTAGCCAAAGGGGATCTATTAAGCTTGAAACAATATTAGGGACGTTATATATAAGAACATTTCCATTTATATCTAGATAGATGCATACAAAGATGGTAAAAAGCATAGCTTGTGCAAAGGAATTTTCTATACATATATATATACTAGAATAGGTAATAAATAGGGAAAGCTACTTCGCGGGTCTAATGTCAACAGAGAAGAGTAGATTAGAGTTTCAACACCAGAAATAGTCGCATTATAGGATCTTATTGAGGCAGGTAAGACAACAGATGTAGACCGAATATTCCCAAGGATCTACGACAGTCGCTCATGTTAAATGTACAAATAGGCTCAATAATCTTGCTTGTGGACTCAGAAGCCGATATGGTGCGAAATAAAACAACGCTTCTTAATGGTTATTGGGCCACTGGGATAGATGTGATACAAATTATTTGAATAAGTCGAGTTCTTAATGTGCTTCAAGTTCATTCGTATTGGCAGGTAGAATAGAGTGCGCAAACGTTCGGTCCCGACTTTCGAATTAAGTATACATGTCGGAACTTTGAAGCTCTATTACAGTTGTCCATAGGCTAGACCCTCGGGGTCGACCCTGAGATAAGTGACTAGAATCAAAAGAATTGGCAATAAACGAAGCCTCTGGATGGATGCCTTAAGACCGGTCCAGGACTGTGAAAAACATGACTTGAACGTGCTAGGTGAAGGCTCTCCCATTCTGAGGCATCTCTCGGCGAAGAGTCATCTCTGAGTGTGATGACCTCAGGGACGAAGACCAGCAAGCCCATATTGGCAGGAACCTTTGCGCGATCACTGCCGCAGGTTTTATTTTACGGCTGAATCTACGGTCGCCCTCCCCCTATATGCTGACAGGTTGAGTCAGTCTGATTTGAGGCCTGGATTTTCAATAATACACCGGCAACCTGGTTTCTTCTACTTCAACTTGGTTGATCGTATACTTCTAGATGCCGCACGTGTTTAAATTTCTTCGCTCCCCTCAACGCATAGGGCCTTACTCAGCTTGTCTCACAGCTGCTTTTTCTAACTGATAGCGGATTATTTAGAAAATACCCATTGCGCCATTTCCACCCAGAGCAGGAAAGCCCAATTGCCCACAGAAAGCCTCGCGGAAAACTGGATCTCGCGACAAATCAGATGTAACACCCTGCTCACCAAGTTCTATCTTACGCAGCCTAGCTTGAAGCACCGCGCACGTATCAGCCCAGGCACAGACATTGCCCGCAAGACCTTCGAACAAGCTGTAGGGCTCATCAGGCATACGATAATCCTTGTCATACGTGGGCGAGGTGTTGTATGGCTTAGTTTGACGTGCATGCAACATGAACGCAAGTGCCCTCGAGAGGAAGAAGTCACTATTGAGTTCCTGACTCACTTCGGCATTTGGAAGCGCTGATAGCTGATTGTCCTGGAGGTAAAGTACCCGGGCCTCGTTCAGAGTCTCTAAGTGGTATTCAAAGCAATCATGGAGGAGGAGCCACGCCCATGCATTGCCAGCCACGCCGTGACACAAACTGCCTCCCTTAGAAAGCAGACCTTCTTCCCACACACGCCCGGTGCCCAAGTAGATCGCTTGGTCCCAACTTGGATCCCAGTGGGCACGGGTTAAGGATTTATTTTTCAAGGCAGTACCTAGGAGAATCAACAGTCCTGGACTCCCGTGACACAGCTGGACTAGTTCCGAGGAGCGCTGCGTGGAACCATATAGTGGTAGTGTCATCGGGAGGTGGCCATTGGTAGCTCCGGATAGCTTGCAGAGCGCAGTGATAGTACCACCAATCACAGGAAGATACTCTGTAAGCTCTTCGGGCTTACATGAGAGTAGGATGGTTAGAATACCGGCTAAATCACATGTTAGTATTGGCTTCAAAAATATCGCCTGCCAACTTACTTATTCCATGAACCCTATACATTGTCCGTTAGCGATCTCATACGATACAAGATGGCTGGAGGTGCACTTACGCCCCAAAACAGTAATGGCCCTCCATCCATGCATACATTAATGGATGTGCGTCTTGGGCTCTGTTCTTCTCAGTGTATTCCTTGGATCCTTGTCGCCCGGCATCGACAATCACTCGGATCAACTCGGGAATTGCCCCTAGCACAGGTGAGAGAAATCCTTGGGTCTCTTGGTCAAAATCGTGAGCACGAACATTCAAAAGGACCCAAAGAAGTCCTGCTCGGCCAAACAGCATCTCATCTCCACCCATTTTTCTGCCATCATGGGTAACAAGAGGCTCATTAGTTAGTGCGTACTGCATGGCCTCATGAAGGCAAGTGATATCCTCCCTTGCGATGCTGACATTGGCACCACCTTGCCAATCATTCTTTGAAAGAGTAGCTAGAATGCGCAAGGTGATAGCAGTTACAGGCGAAGATGAGCCAAGTGGAGATAGTCGGGAGGCTAACAGAGGGGTGTCCGGGAGGCTTGATGGAATCCGTTGTAGTGCGTAACAACGATAGTCAAGAGAAGCAGCCTTGTGATCATTTAACACCGAGGACTGATAATCCAAGCGGAGAAATGCTAGAGCGATGCCTTTATTGGGTGATTAGATGGCCATGGTTTGGAGAGGTGGGAGTGGAGTTTGAAATACCGGGGAAAGCTCTGAACAAGCCATTTGGGCCCCATGTCTCAGGTAAGGCAGTGTTCTCTTGTATCAATTCGGCACCCTTGCGAACAGCTACACGAAGCTCTTGGAGGCTCTCGGAAAGAGTGGTCGCATTGATCGATGGCGGGGTTAAAGTGTTCTCGAAGTATTGCGGGCGCTCTGCCATGGTTCAGGTTTTGTTTAGTTATAGGCTGTCTAGGTGTTTGCAGAGATATGGCGTGATATGCAGGAAGGATGCTCAATTATGCTGGTCTGAAAACATTTACCGTTCTGATCGGGGCGATCGACCTATGTCCCGCGGGACATAAACAAGGTGCGGTTCAGCTAGCCACCAAAATAGAATCCAGCATCTTCCCCACCAGCAAAGCTACAAACCCAAAATCTCACCCAAATCCCTCGTACATCAGAACAGGTGCCATCCATAGAACTGCGGAATCTAAATAGCAAACCCAAAAGCGGCATTCTGATTAACCACCCACTAGGCAGTCTCTATAACGATCACCAGTCCAAGCTACTAAAAAAACATCTTCCATCTCGCCCTAGACCGCCTCAATGTGGCAAACGTTGCCCAGATTGCACAGCCCGTCAGAGACAGAAAAACAACATCCAACATTGGGAGCCTCGGGGAAAAGACGAGAGAGATAAAGTGGAAAGATGTCCCAAAGATGTATCCGACGGCCCGAATAAACAAGTAGCTAGTAAGAAGAAACGTGAGAGCTAGAAAAAGAATGAAAATAGTTGTACGATTTTTATATCTTGGTCTGTCGTTTAGTTCATTCTCGAGATGGGCGATCTCAATCAAAGTCTGAAAAAGTTTCCAGATTTGTGAACGCCAGAAGTAGACGTCTTCCAGATCTTTCAAAGCTTATATTCTCGCAGAGGGACCGGATGATAGTGCACCCATTCCTAGAGAGATTTGACACGACTTCTCTGCCTTGGCAAGAAGCAGTCTTTCAGGGCAGGGAACTCCTATATTGTCAAGATGGTTCGCATATTGCAATGTGATAAAATGTTGCAGGGAGACATTGCGCCAAAATGAAACTCTCGGTTTTCGGCAGTTGATGTTGTTGGAATCAGCACTCCCATAAGCCGAACTCACCCACTCACCCGCGTATAAGTAGCAAGACGAAAGTAAGTTGATGGTGCATTGGTAGAACAGGATATCATCTTCGCTTGGTTCCATGATAGTGCCGCGAGTTGCAAAAGATCTGCGTGACCCATATCGGCATGAGTATATCTGTATATAGCAAAATCGCTTTTTTATGTTCTGCCTAACAACCTAGATAAACCACAACATCAGTCTATGGCATTGAAGTATGCAGGTGGAGAACCCAGTTATTATTCGGTGAAGCTTTGAAGACAAATAGTGTCATTTGGCTGTATTGCAATAGAATGTATAAAATGCTAGAGTGGATATCAAGACAAATAAGACATGAACGAATTCTGCATCGAACGTATGAATTGGTTACTCAAAGAAACCACCATCGCTATCATCTTGGTCCTCCGCGTTGGCTGGTTCTGATGCCTCGTGGTTCTTGGGAGCCCGCTCGCTGCGTGTAGCTTTCTCCTTCTTGTTGCTCTTCTTGTCATCTTTGGAAGCATGCTTCTCCTTTTGGGTCGAAGACTTGGTCTCTTTTTGCTGCTCTCCCTTCTTGCTCTTTTCCTTGTGGGTATCTGTAACTGTAGTTGTGCCAGAAGACGAAGCTTGGATCTTCTCTCCATTAGCATTGATGTGCAGCTTTCCTTCGCGAAGAAGGTCCAGTGTTTTTTCTTCCATGCACTTCTCAACGACAGACCACATCGGGGGCTTGGCGTCGTTGGTTTTGGTTTCCTGTGTTTGCAATTCTGACTTTGGGTCTGTTGCATCGGGTTTTCCACTGGGGTAGATTGAAATGTATTTCTCGGTGAGAGGATAGTAGATCGTGTAGTTGAGGTTCACGCGGCATGTGTGGATTTTCGCCGCAAGACGAGCCTTTTGTTTCGAATCCAGATCTTCTTCCTTCTCCTGGCGAGTAAGTCGGTTGAGTTCCTTGGTAGCAGTTTTGCGATCTAGTCAATAAAAAAAAAGTACGTTAGCGAGAACTCAAGCACTTGTAGACTTATCGACCGCATACCAAGGAATCGGACAAAGTGATATTTCTTGATCAATGACGACCGTTCTCTGCGTGTAGTTTCGTCCGCAAGATCTTGCTCATATCCAGCGAGGGCGCGTTCCTGCAAGATGCGAGCATCGGCAGACAAATCCATTTTGTTGAGTAGTCGCTTCACATCGCGAATTCGCTTTTTGAGGTCGTTAATCGACGGGTATTCCTTTTCGGGTTTGGGAGCAAATTTGTCCTTGTATTTCCGGGTCACTTTAGGCTTTGATGCATCGCCTTTGCTGCCGAAGTCCACGAATTGGACTTGATCATCTGCTTTGTCTGCCTTGCGGTGCACCTTTTTGCGGGCCGGGGGAGCATCCTCTGATCCATCCCTGGTCTTCCTCTTTGAGGGAGCTTCCCGATCGCGGTGGCTTCGAGTATCTGTAGACATGTTTGTTGGTCTAACAGAAAAGGAAAGGAAAAAAAAAGAAGTCGAAGCTACAGCAAAAACGATAAGAAAAAAGATATCGGCGGATTTATCGGCCCCCCCCCCAGATTGGCGCCCAACCAATGAGCGTCTCCGTTGATCACCATCACCGCGGCCCTCTCTCGTCGCATTGATTTGATTTATTCCAATTGCCCGCTTGACTTTGTCTATCTGGCAGTTCGGATCTACCCATGTCACTAAGTCAATCACTGAACCACACTTAGTAAAAGGGCCAGCATGGAGTCCGCCATTCGCTGGTCCCCGACCTCGTCGGCCGCTGAACAACGCTTCCTGTCAGTCGACGTCACAGGGAAATCATTTCGTCTGTGCAGGGTGACTGGGTTTGACGGCAAAAATTTACGCCATGAAGTGCTATCCACCTTAACCAATGTGCCTGGGTTTCGTGCATTTGACTGGTCTACTTCAAATGAGAACCTGATCGCCGTGGGTCAGTCATCTGGAGAGGCCACCATCCTACGCCTCGATGGGGATGCCAAGGAGTCTCTTTCATTCCCAGTCCGCAACCAACGGTACTGCAATGCAGTTGCATTTAGTACACACGGTCTTGTGGCATCGGGCCTCGATCGCGTTCGGAACGACTTTTGCTTGAACATTTGGGATGTCAACCAACGACTCAGTCCTGCTGGTGGAAGTAAAGGATTCACCGAGCCCTTGCGCAAGCTCGCCAGCTCAGAGCCTATCACCAGTATCAAGTTCTTCCGAGACCAGCCTGACACCATCGTAACTGGTGTCAAAGGCCAATTTGTTCGGATCTATGATCTGAGAGGTTTGTTTTCCCTGGCTTTATATCTACAGAAGCATAGCTGATTTTGTAACAGAGGGACCTGGCAATCCATCATTACAATTTCCCACTCGATGTGTTCATAATCTAGCTATTGACTGGCTTGATGAGAACTATATTGCATCTTGCATTCCATCGAATGAAAGCACCATCTGCGTGTGGGACCGTCGCGTTGGATCTCGACTGACATCTCCATCAATGGGCTCTTCCGCCAGTGCCCCAGACTCAGGTCACTCGACGCCTGCTTTGGAACTGAAGAATGTTTTCCATCCGAAGTCCTCCATCTGGAGCTTGCGCTTCTCAAGGACGAACCGAGGCAATCTTTCTGCGCTGTCCAGCAACGGTCATTTCAAGAATTACGATATTGCCAAAGACTACTTGCCGGAGGAGTACCGCTCTTCGATAGACGAGACTCTGGGTCAGGGATCTTCCAGAAATTACCCAGAATCGGTATACACTAAGCACGTGCGGGACGTTTGCGTACCATTTGATACTCCGGCTCGTGGCTACAAAGAAAAGGACCGTGTTGTTTCATTTGATTCCCTGAATCTTAGCTTGTCTCCTCAACCAAGTGCTATCGCACTCGACGGCAATGGACAACCCCAGATCATCACCGCGCGTCCCCCCTGCGCACCAATTGATTTATCTTCACGAAGTGTATTAGCCTGTGGCATCTCATCAAGTGACTCAGATGTGCGATCGATTCATCCACTGTCTGAACATATTTCGCCCATCTCAGACCTGATCGGGAACATTAGGTCACGCGTCTGTTTGACCTCGCAAGAGCATGGGGCAAACTCAAATGGCCAGCTGTTCGTATCAAAGAGTCTTGATTTCGAGCCTGTCCCAAGTCATGAGAACCGGGAACGCGCTATGGCTCTCGGGGTGACAGGTGTTCCTCTTACTGCGAAAGAAGCGTTAACTCTATCCACAATTAATCAGTCCCGGTGCAAAGAGGGTTATCTGTTCGATGAGGCTCGAAACCGAAAGGTGGCATCTGATGATCAAGCTCTACAAGACTTCTGGGGCTGGATTGAACGTGAGTTTTTCATTTTCCTTGGAGTCACAACCACATATCTTATAAATTTTCTAGGTGCTCGAACCGAGTCTTCTGGGACCTCAATGGTTGTCAATGGCTTGGACTTGAATTATCTAGGTGTGAGCAATGTTTGGAATAATGACATAGGTTTGTTCCTTTACTTTATTTTCGAGTTTTTCTCAAAACTGACATGAGAACAGGCCATGGATTGGAACAACGTTGTATCAGCGCCAAGAAAGATGATGCTAAAACAGTTGCGGATGCAGTGGGAACTTGGGCGACTCAGTTGAACCTCCCCGAGACAACAGGTTGTGACACAAATTTCCCCGACCACCGCCGACTATGCCTTCGTCTCTGTGGTGCTACGCAATCCTACCGTGAGCTGGAGGAGTCAGTGAAAACGTTATCTGGCGAAGACCAGCATACTAAAGCTGCTGCACTGGCTGTCTTCCAAGATGAGCCTAAGCTGGCCTACCTTGGGCTTCGAAGCAACAACCCCACCCAAGCTCATAAACTGCTAGCCATGGCGATCGCCGGTGCCTCCAAGGGGGACAATGACACAGACTGGGAGGAAACCTGTGCGGAAATCGCGAAGGAACTCACCGACCCATACGCTCGGGCGATCCTGGCCCTCGTGAGCAAAGGTGACTGGAATGCAGTTATCAAGGAAACCACACTACCTCTGAAGTATCGCGTAGAGGTCGCGCTACGCTGGCTTCCAGATGACGAACTAACTGAGTATCTGAACGAAGCCACG